TACTACCTATATATGATATTAAAATTCCATGTACAGCAAAATCAGTTATATATGTTTAATACAAATATTTAAAATGTTATTTTTCAACTGTTTTAACGGTTTCATTTCATTATTTCTTTAAAAATATGAATATTACTGTCAAGTAAGGTCAGGTTGGTGGCTAGAAGGTGCCATGCTGTTTGGATTGAAACAGGCGTGAGAGAACTTCTCTAATTCTCCATTACAGGCACAGAGTAGACCGTCATAGAGAAACACAGCTTGAAAGTTCTCATTAGACAATGTGATTAGCACTATTGCATTTTGGTCCTCTGGTTAGCAAAATTACGCACACTCCCACCAGCGGACAGAGAGCGCTTCGGAAAATATGTCACGTCAACCTGCGTCTTTTTGACTGCTGCTGTTAAAAGAAACACATGAAGACCATAGAGCTGATATTAATTCACAACAGTTGTAATGTTTACTTTGTTGTGGATCTGTATCATACAGGATGTCTTATTGATCAAGGTGTTCTTATGACTCAGCAGAAGGTGCCTGCTTGTGTAAATGTTGGATTACTGTTGGATTACTACCCTTCATCTGAGTATACCTTGTGTAGCTTACCAGTACTTGTCCTGCATCACTCTTATCTGTCAATAAAAATGTCAGACTTGACCATAATGATTGAGGATGTCATCCTCCCAGTCCTACCCAATCCGCCATAGGAAACGTTCCTCAAAATTGCTGAAAGGTCGTCAAGCCAGGGACTGGAGAGTCAAGAGGATTTGGCTTTTGTGACAGAAGACGACATTTTACAGATTTTAAGGCAAATACGGTGCAGGAAGCTGCTGGCAGGGTTGGAAACAAGGTAGAGCAATACCTTCAAACCACTTCACAACACATTACAGTATCATTGATTAATAAATTAGCCCTGCATAAATAGATGACTGGGAGTCATTTCATATTAGTTTGTAATCTATTTTTCTGCATGACTACTACAGTAGAAAGTAGGAATTACTTCATTTTATTTTTGTTTCTCTTCCGACGATTAGGCTACAGTGTAGAACCTCTGCACAGCCTTCAGAAGCTCAACTCCACCTAAATCCACAGTGTGAAGCAGCCGCCCCACAAGCTCTCCAAGCGTCGTGTTCGTCCTCATGCTCGGCGTGACCCGAAAATTTATTGTTCCACGGGAGAAAGTGTCTTCTTTAAGAGCAGCCATTTCTAATGAAAGACGTCCTGTACCAGCCAGAAATTACAGAAGAGGAAACAGAAGCAGGGATGGAAGAAAAACGGTCCCGTATGGTTGAACTTCACTCACAGTATGGCTCAGCCGCTGCTGATAGAACTGAAACTGAAAGTCTCTTGAAGAGTACCTACTACTTACAAAGAAGAAAGATCAATGCTGATCCAGTTACTGTCCACCTGATGATCTCTTCGCCACTCAAGAGCTACAATATTTTATTTATTGGGCCCGCGGCATGGTTTTCATTTACAATACAAATTCCGCTAATAACCTGGCTGGTTGTTTCATTGCTGGCATCGTTAAAACTATATCAATTATAGACTGAATTCCGATATAGTTTTGTCTAATATCACCGGTTCCAGCCATGCCGCGCTATTTTGTAAGGCATGCACTGGACAATCATCTTCTCTCATAAATATTAATGAGACATCTCCAACCACCCTGCAAAAAGGAAATTTGCCGCCCCCCGCACACGAGGCAACATGGCTGCGTCTAACAGCAGAGCTATGGAGCCTCTGGAGAAACACGCAGCAAAAAAGGCTCGCACGTGGTCTTTGGGAAAAATGCGTTAAGGTTCCCAACTCTGGCTGTCCTGGCCAAATCATACCTGTCTGTGTCTGCAACGTCAACCCCATCTGAGCGCCTCTTTTCGGCAGCTGGGAACATTGTCACAAAAAAAAGAGCAACCCTAACTGTCTCATGTTATTGTGACTTGAATTTTTCTTATTTTTTGGTTCATGCACTTATATCTCTTAAGATTTGCTTGTTTGATTTTAAGATTTTTGTTAATAATGCCCTAATGATTAAGAAATGTTTTAATAAATTGAAATGGTAATGAGAATTTCAGATTTGTGTGCGTGTGGGAGGGGGGTGAATTGTTGTATTACTTGAAGTTTGAAGTTTATTGTCATATGTACAAAGTACAGCGTACAGAGCACAATGAAATTCTTACTTGGAAACCCCTCCCTCACAGACAAAACATAAGACATGATACACAGAAGACATAGAAGACAAAGTAGTGCAGCAGCAATAAATAACAAATAGGCATGATATGATACATGATAAATGACATGATAAATGCATAATGAGAATGTGCATGATGTAAAGTGTCAGTGCATAGTGCGGAGTAAGTTGCGTAGTATAGTGTAAAGTGATAATGCAGTTTACGTTGTTTTTGTTCCAGAATTACACATAGTGTGAGGAACAGATTTATTGCACATAGAGAGAGAACCACAGTTACTGTGTGTTGAATAGCCTTGATGGCACCGGGCACTATTATATGACTGACTTGAAAATAATTGCTTATCAATAAATTTATCATCAGATCAATAGAAAAAATAGTTGCTAGATTAGTCGAATAATCGAAAAAATAATCGCTAGATTAATCGTTTAAAGAATAATTTGGGACAGTACTACTTACGACGATCGACTGGTTACGGTTAAAATGAGACATTTTTTCACGTTATGTTTACAGACATTCTACAAATAATCTCGTGACCCCCACTTTGTGAACTGCTGTGCTAGGATAAGCTAACCGTGGAATTCAACTTTTACCTCAAAACTTCCTACTTAAATCTCAAAAGTTTATTTTGACTCTAATCTCAAAACTTTGAAGTTAAATCTCAAAATATTTCACATTTATTTGCTTTTAAGTTGCCCTAATGCTCCTCTGTAGATTTTACTCACCAACTTTTTTTTTACAAATAATATGAAAATATAAATAAGTTGGGAGCATTAAGATCTGCAACTCACCTCACCATCATGCTCAGCAAACAAGCTTGATGGTATCAGAATGAACTTTTTTTCAGCAGTAATGCTTGCATTTGATTGGCATCCTAGATTAGAATTCTAAAACTAGATGCATCCAATGACCGAAGAGGCCAAATATTCTAAACATGACTGACTGCCATAATAAAATTTTATGAAATAAAAAGTATCATATAATATTATTTATAAAAATATAAATAATATATTTTTGCAAGTTTGATGCTAGGCACCTGTGGTTTCCTTTGCATTGCCGGGCAAATCCAGTCCACTTACTACTTCTAAAAATCCAGGTCAAATTTTTCGATTGTTCTTAAGAAATTGCCGGTCGACCCGCATTTTGGGAATTCAGTCTGCTTACTTTTCCTTTTAAGGCCCGTGTCCCTAAACAATCCAGACCATAATTTTGCAGGTGACTTAGCTGGGTGGAAAAGGTGTAGTTGTGATGTCACACTCACTTTGGGGTGTCTTGATTACATGTTTTAAGGGTGATTGCAGCAGATGTTGGACCGGGGTCATGTGACAGGGGCTACCTGGGACAAGATGAGCCTCAGGCAGGAAAACATGTCGCCTCAAGGGTGTAAGCATGCGGCCTGATGCAAACGGAGAATTTAATTATATTATTTCTTCATTAAAGTTAGGAAAGTAAAACAAATCTTGCTTAAGGTATAATTTGTAATTAAAGCTATTAAAGGCCAGCAGGTGGCAGTGTTGTTACAGAACAAATGCTGACATGCTGGTCAATCCAAACAGTATTGTAGCCTGCAAAAATAACATATAAGCGAAAATATCTATGTATTATAGACTCATGTGCATCATGTGCAAATTGTCATCATCACATTGTGTTCAGTATGTCGGGGGTACCTTATAGTGCTTTCGATTATTACTCTCCAAGTCGGAACTCGGATGAAAACGTCACGAAACGTCACGAAAAACGTCACTTCCCGTCGGAAACACAGCTCTTTTATGACGTTGATGTCGGACAAGATTTTGTTGTCCGAGTTGCCCCCGTGATGTAATTTCAACATGGCGGCTTACACACTCAACAGTAATTCTATTTTATAAATCTTTAAAAATGTTTATTTTGTTAAATGTATTCATATTTATAAATGTAACTGCACGTGTTCGACTTAGAGAATACCATATCATGACCGTAAACAGTATCCTATCATGCAATATCAGATTTTTACCAGACTTCTTAGTGTCTTTGGTTTGTTTGTAGTTTGTTTGCCTCTCGAAAAAAGAATATTGCTATGAATGTGCTAAAATATTTTATAAAGGTTTTAATGTGGTTTGACTAGTTCGTGTTTCTTGTTTGTTTGTCTCTCGGAAAAAAATAATCTCAGTCCAACTCTGCTAAAATATAAAGCAACAACACACAGCAGCGTGTTCATGGAGGCAGCCATGTTTGTTTCGGGATGTGGTAGCTCGAACGGGAGATTGTCGGACGTGATGTCACTGAACTCGGAATTTGCGAGTTCCGAGAGATAAACGAACGCACCATTAGATAACCGCCTCAACAAACATTCACATACACGTCTGAATCCTTGCTGAAGCGTGTCGTCGTGTTCTGTCTTTCACGCTCGTCAAAGTATGGATAGCTTAGATCTATCTGATTTGATTTTGTGTTAAACGGACTTTTTCGTTTCAATTCAAAATTCATGTAGGCCTAGCGCTTGTCACGTTGAGAGGTGCATAAAAAAATAATTGTGTGCAATTTATCACGGGTACGGAGGGTAACGGGCGGAATGTTAACGGGCCCGGGCAGGTGCGGATTTAACTTTGAAATAATCACGGGTGCACGGGCGGGTGTGGTGCTGTACTGTGCGGGTGCGGGCGGGTGCAGGTCTCCAAAAGTGGACCCGTGCAGGAGTCTGTCTCTGGGTACCGCCACTATGACCGACATCAGTAAAGAAAGTACTTCTATGTACCACTAGAGGGAGCGCACGTACCATAGTTTAAGAACCACTGAGTTTATGATTTAAAATCTTTGTGGTATTAGTAACTTTAGGTCTTCAAAGGTAAGAAAGATAATTTTAATATCAAACACTGTAATTAGGGAGGTAAATGAAAACAGTTCCCCGTGCTTTATCCTGTGGAGGGGCAACATTATTTTGGCCTTCCTCATCTCCCCCAGTTAAAATTAAGTATGGAAAAGCAGTGACTGTCCCTTCAGGCGCAAATTAAACAGAAGCATTAACTGTTAGCGCATTTGTTAGCGTTGTGACGTCGTGTCAGCAGGTGGCTCTCAGGTCAGACATTCAGGACGCAGCCTGAGGAGGGGTCAGCAGGGGGAGCTGTGGGGTCAGACATTCAGGACGCAGTCTGAGGAGGGGTCAGCAGGGGGAGCTGTGGGGTCAGACATTCAGGACGCAGTCTGAGGAGGGGTCAGCAGGGGGAGCTGTGGGGACGGCGGCGGCTTCTGTCTCCTGGACGTCAGCATCCACGCGAAGCGTTTTCTCCGCCGTGTTCTCGGCCTCCTCCATCATCTTCTCCCTCTCGGTCTCCATCACCTCGCTGGGCTTCCTGAGCCTGATCACGTCGGCATTTACACGGGGTGGGTAGGCTGGCCAGACTGAGCTGAGCTGGTCGCGGAGGTTCCGGACCTGGCAGGCCAGCGTGATGGTGGACACCAGCAGCGCCGTACAGAACAACAGCACGATTCCCAGAGCCAGCAGCAGCCAGCCAGTGTGTAACCTACCCCCAGGGCTCAGAATGGGGGTGGGGCTATGCTTAGAGGGAGTGGTCTTGAGACTGGTGGTACGAACAGTAGTGAGGTTGGTGATGCTGGTGATGGTGGTCACATTGGTGACATCGCTGGTGACACTGGTGGTATCTAGTGATTGGGTTTTGCCGCTGTACTCGTTCTCCCCATCGTCGTCGCTGTTCTTGGTCACACTGTCCTTGTCATTGTACCCAGAGGTGACCCCAGCATTGGATCCATGTATCACCAACCCAGCCGCAAGGAGAGCATGTAAGATCCAGTTATCCATACCTGTGAGGAGTGGAGCACCAAATAGTGTAAAGTCACCAGGACTCTAGCATGTCCCACACACATTGGGTCACTTTCACTTTGAGCGGCACTGTCTCCACCACAAAACCCCTCCCCCACCCATCCAGACCGACACCGACAGGATTCATGGTTCTCATGCGTTTCTTTTAATGACTGCAGTCAATATATCAACTGAACTAAACATCAAAACATTTCTTTTTATGCAGTGTATCTTTCTGGGCTTCTGTAAGATATTTTTGTCTGCTTTTCAGGTGGTTGACGCGACATATTTTCCGACGCGTGCTCTCTGTCCGCTGGTGGGAGTGTGCTCACCGGTGTGTGCGCACACGTGTCTGTGCCCGTGCATCGGGGCGGAACTGCACCACACGCGATACAGAGAGCAGAGGAGAATAGTAAACGTGCGACCGTGTCGAGACAAAAATGACAAGCTGTTGTGTAAATAAGATAAATAACATAATGCTATTTAGTTTGTTTAATAAAAGGACAATGTATAGACCTGTTCTATAGGAAAGGTAACCTTAAATGACTTCTGTTGTGATCTGGCACTATATAGAAAATTAAATTAAATTAAATTAACTTGACCTTCAAGGGGGGGCGGGAGATGCTGTTGGGGGTGCGGGGCGCCCCCCTAATACAATGGTAGGGGAAACATTGTATTCCGTGTCAGATCCAAGGGGTACATTTGAATGTGTGTATTTCGACAGGTGCGTGTTCAGACTGGATGCAGATGTGTGGTGCTGTGAGGTGTGTGTCTGTGTAAATAAGTGTTTTGTTGTCATACAGTAATGTGCAAAAGTCTTAAGCAGCCAAAGGAAATGTTTAAAGCTATTTTTCTGGGTAGTAAATGTATATGTGCTCCAAACAAAAACACTATTTAGCATTAGAGCATATGCAAATCACTGTAGTAGTGCTACTGTAATGCCCTCCTGTCTGGTTACCCATCCGGATCCTTACATGCACTTCAGCTGGTACAAAATGCAGCAGCCGGAGTTCTTACAAGCATTAAACAATGTGATCATATTAGCCCTGTTCTATGTTCCCGTCACTGGCTTCCAGGTAAGTCTCAGATTGACTACAAAATACTGCTATTAACTTATAAAGCACTGAATGGCCTTGCAACAGAATATCTTAGAAATCTACAGGCCTCTTACAAGCCTCTTCACCTGCTTCAGTCTCAAGGAGCAGGATATCTGTTAGTACCTAGAGCAGAAAGAACTACAGCAGGATGGAGATCATTCTCTTATAGAGCTCCTCAGCTGTGCAATAGTCTTCCAGTAAATGTGTGAGATTCAGGTTGACTCAATATTCAAATCTAGGCTAAAAACACACCTGTTTAGTTTAGCTTATAGGGACTCTAGTTCTAGCTCTAGCTAACTGCTCACTCCCAGTCAGACCTATAGTGTGAGGTGTAGAGCTGGGTGGGGATCGGTGCCATTGGCTTTGGATGAACTGAACTGTCAGTCTGTCACTCTAGCTTCACATCCCCTTGTGGGATTGGAGTGCTGACGTTCAGGGACTCCCCATGCCTGCGTTCCCACCTGACTCTCCCTCCTACTGATGCTGCCAAAGCCATATCTGCTGGAGCTTCCATACTGCACTCACCTAACTGTTTACACTGCCTCTAGTCTCCCCTACTTGGGCTAATTGCACAGTTTATTTCCCCCCCCCACCCCCCCTTGGTTGTGCGGCCTGGAGACCCCAAATTATCGAGTTACCCTGCTTACCCTGCTGCCTGCAACATCTCCAGTACTTGTCGCGTTTTTCCGACCTGCTCGCCCTTCTGGGTCTGACGTCTCTCCTTCCTGCCCTGCTGCTGTGCCACCGTTCATCCTGCCATCTGATGCAGCACCAACATCTGCCTGCCACCCGCTTTGAAACTGAAATCTTAAGATTTTACAGTGTAAACTGGGATTTTTGTCATTTTGTGCCCATTTGACTTTGACTTCCTCTGCCAGTCCCTGGAGGTTGGGCTCCCCCTTTGAGTCTGGTTCCTCCCAAGGTTTCTTCCTCCTAGGGAGTTTTTCCTTGCCACTGTCGCCTCTGGCTTGCTCACTGGGGGCTTTTGGCTGGCATAATAATAGTAAGGTGCTTTGAGACAATGTAATGTTGTGAAAGTGCACTATACAAATAAAAATGACTTGAATTGAACTGAAAGAGTAACGCAGTAACACAACACAAACTGGAATATCTTAGGTTCTGCTGAAAGTCACTGACATCTTGTTGGACGGCTAGATGAACACCGCTTCAGTTCCCAAAGCTCTCCTCAGGGGCACCTCAGCCGTTCCATGCACTCATTAAATTTCACCACCAGCTCACTTAATTAATTAAGTTAATTAGTTAATAACTCAATGAGGTATTGATTACCCTAAATACCAGGGTGCTAGTGGTTGAGACATATTGGACGGTTGCAGTAAGTACTGGGGAGACTTTAGGAGAGATTTTGAAATGGTTAAGCTGACATGCTTTGATAGAAAAAAACTCATAGTTTCAGCTCAGCATGAAGATAATTTAACCAACACTTTCTTTGACTGGCTAAGACTTTTGCACAGTACTGTACATCAGTAATATACATCTGTTTCAGCGAATATGCCCCCCACTCTTGCTTTGAAATTAGCCCCCCCCCCCTTGCTCAGTTCACCACCCCCAGTCAGAGAGACAGCTGACTGTATAAATGAAGCCACTCTCAGTTAGATCCTCCCCCCTCCTGGGGACCTTAGGCAACTTTACTCATGACAACAAACAAAAAGAGGAAGTAACTCACGTTTGATTTAGCAGAGTGACCGACCCCCCCCCCCCCCCCCCCCCCCCCCCCCCCCGGTATTACCGACAACCCAGTGCCCCATAAGCCAAAGCACACTTT